GTCGTAAACTCTCGGGCCTGTAATCGCGTGAGTGTTGCTGTACGTTGGTGGCAACTGCAGTTTCGTACGCGGCGATGACGACTTGCGCACTGGACGAAAAATGCATCAATTTTGCACAATTACGATGACGCTAGGTGTTACGTTTATCCGGAGGCACGACCTTCGGTCCTCGACGATGGATACGTGCGAAGAGCCGGCAAACCCGAAGAAAGTAAAAGCGGAACTCGGCGGTGGTTCTGCACGCGCTTTCTTTCTTATTATTATACACAAGCTATTATATTATTATATGTTCATAACTATCGTGGCGCACTCACTTTTCTCCTCCGCGACTGGGCCAAGGCGAATGGCCTTGACCGTAAATCGTGTGCATAATAATAATATATATGCCGCATTCGCATTCGCACTGGCGCTCACCCGCAGTCTTCGGGCCACTACTGGCCACATCGCAAACGCATCTCTCTCTCTCTCTCTCTGAGTGACAATCGATCAATCAATATTATTTACTGCAGCAGCTAATGCAGTAGTTGAACACAACAACAGAGCACTCGTCTGAGAATCAAAAATCTCCGCCCATGATAATAGTAGTGTCGCATCATACATCGTATACAATAATAACATACAACATAATCGTCAAGCAATTTGACGCGTGTTTTCACTTGGTCCCGCTTACCTCCACCTTGTCATCCTGCAGGCGAATAACGCGCTACTGTTATTGTAATTTCGAGTTTTTTTCTTTTCTTTCCGAATATATTCTCTCCTTGTACGTACATATCATTACTGCACGTGACGGCTGCGGCGGCGGCGGTGGCGTTCAAGTCTCCGAACACCGTGACCGGCCGGCGGCGGCTGCGGAGATGGCAACGTCGCAACAACCGCTCGCTAGGCGAGTACATAATATGCACACAATCGTCGTCCGCCTCCCCGCTTAATGGAATAATATATTATTACATAGCAGCCGCGTCGCGCGCGTGCGCGTAGCCGCAACGCTGCCGCTTAATTGCGTAAGCGGCGTGTATCCATCGTTCGTGGTGACTTCGGCAGTGGTGTTGTTCTCAAGGCCACACGCCTTCGAGATCGTATTTGTGTATGCGAGTGCTTATAATATACAACTACAAAAATCGGTCACCTCCTTATCTCCCTCCGTCTCGTTCCCAACATTCGAGTGCACCGTACATGTATAATACTGTATTATGATAATATCGAACTTTATTGAATAATAATTGTGATATTTGCAGTGTGTTAGCAATAATTGTCTTATTCCATCTCTACGACTATCGATTATAAGCTCGTCGCCGCCAAAGACCCTCTTCTTATAGATATCATATCATATATTATATACTATTGTCGTCCCATGAATACGCTCGTAAACATTTCGCCGCGATCGGTTTTTAACGAGCTCCGCGATAACGTACGACCGTAGAAATTCCGCTAAGAGCGCCGAGACAATATGTTGACCGGCGGGACAATATCGACCGGTGGCATAATCGGACGTCGACAACGAAGGCGACTATAATAATACGACGACGGGTAGAATAATAATAATAATAATAACGATAACAGCGGCTTGGAGGGAATAGAAACGGAATCGAACTTACGATATACCACTTTAATTCTGGAGACTCGGGTTAAATAACTCGACGGATTTCGATAACGATCTTGAAAAAAGGAAAGCTGAGCTTTAATCAAAATAAGTCCAACTTATGGGCGTCTGGGCGACAAAACAATGTGTATTGTATACATAAATCCTTTGGCAGCGATTCGTTATCCTTAAGATAGCTCTAGTATATACACATATACCTTTGCTCTGCCAGGGTTAGGGTATATTAAACAAACTGGGTTATTCCCTATAGTCCTCAATCGATTCCATCCATTGATGGATCGCCGCTGCATCAGCGGTGGTGGTGACGACGACGACGAAGACGTTATTTCGTAACTTACGCAATGTGCGCTTGTAATTATTTTCGTTTTAACGCCCAATCTCGATATGTATCCACTAAAATTACGTTTTGAAATCGCGCGCATATCCTTACGCAATGTAGCCGTGGCGCAATGCTCACAAATTCACCACACGCACGTGCATGCGTATTATAACATTATTATTATTCGATATGTGTATATAATATTGTTGGCAGATTCGATCGGAAATACGCTTTTTCGCCCCTGCAGTATACAACACGTAATTATATTATAATATTGTTGGTCTTATTTTGATCAGCCGACCGGATTTTATAATTTATATTTCCAAGAGCATAATATACCTAACATGTATAATGTATATATAGTACATTCAATATTTTATATATAATATTTTGACTTTCCTTCCAAATATATAGCGTGCGGCGTCGGTTGGCATGCTGAGGATAGAGCTCAGGTATCGCGGTGGAAACTTATCAGTTATCACGATCGTAATATTATAATCGATTGAGGACGACCATATGTTTTATTATCACTATCGGTGGTCGCGTATTATGTATTATTATTATTATTACCCGCCGTGTGTATCTATAATTCTTTTTTCGTTACTCTCATGCGTCATAACCTGCGCTATAACCGGTTTGTGTTTACGGCAACCATACCAGCATTTGTTTTTTCTACCGAGATCTGTGCGACGGCGCGTAATTATTAAATGTATTATCATTATATTATTTTACATTAATAAAAAAAAACAACGTATAATAGATGTAGCTGGTAGGTGCAAAATATAACAATAACAAAATCAGCATCATCGTCGTTGTGTATATACAACTTAAATAATGGTACAACGACGTGTGCGCGTCAGCGAATAGGATTTTATAATATATTGTCCGCAAAAATGTGTGTATTTTTTCTTTCGTTCACTGCTGGCCACGGCGTAATAATATTTGTCGACGGCTAAAAGTCGTTTTCGTCCCCCCACCCGCCATCCCTCTCCGTCGAATGTTTATGACTTGTACAACACAATATTATTATGTACACGCACGCGCGCGTAGGAATTATTGTTGTGCGTATACAGTTCGGTGTAAATATTGTAATATTTTAAAATTGAGTTTTGTTTTCGGGCGTAAAGGTAATACCAATAATGAAATACTCAGCGTTGGTATATGGCTGGTGCAGGGTCCAACGAGCGTGTGACGATATATTATTATATTATTATTGTTTATTGCACATAATGATCGCAGCATGTACGGCGGGATGTATGTAGACAGTTTATTTTTCTTTTGAATTCGAAACCACTGACCCATTTCTATTTCGCGTCGTTAAGAAACTGTCTCGACGGTCAAAATATAACCGTCAACAATATATCATTTTATATCAAGCAATACATGGATACACTCTGCAGAGAGTTTTTTTATACATTTTCGAACCATTTGTAACAATAACGATAACGACGGTAAAAAACTATATTATTCGGTGTTCTTCGTACAAACGCGCGTGTACAGAGTCATAGTCATGGTACCTACATACTAGCACGACAACAACGATGATGATAATAAATAATAAAATATTAAAATATATATATAGTATAACATATAGAATGACTATGCAATACGGTCGCCGCCGTTGGATTCGTCGTTACGCCGGGCGGCGTCCCTCTTCTACCGTCGTCGTATGTAACGCGTTCCGTAGTCGTCTCGCGTATAATAATAGTAATAATATAATATGTCGGTTTGGTCTTTGGTAATAACTTTAATAATAGGAGGTACTTTTTATTTTTTATTTTTTTTCACTATCATTATTGTTCTCCCGTCGTACAGACGTGGCGGGGAAACCTGTGCGATGAGAACCATTGTTGACTAAAAACACACACTCGTAGGTATAAATATATATACATAATATACTTTATGCATATATATTATTGTAAATGTAGTCTACACACTTATCCTCCACCGAGTATGTATATTATAATAATATTCAATATTCATATCTGCACGATCATCTTCTCGGCCGCGGCTACTCAAGTATACCCAAAGATCCTCTTCGACGTGTGATGATCATAATATTATTGTAATCTTTGTAGTGCAATTTTGATCGCGCTTCTGCTCCCAATAATTAGTCGTTTTCTGTTTTCGTATTTAAATTCTGTACTACACGCTTATAATATGATCTCCCCCCAACTCCAGACTGGCATCAGGGTTGAACAGTGATATTAGTTGGAATTCGATATTACATTACATACGATCACTTAATTTATTATATTCAATCAAATTTCGACGACGCACACTTGACGGCTGGGCGCCGCTTTTTGGCGAACGTGTTCGTAAATCTTCGCCACCGGCAATACCTGCACCCCTCCATGCTGTCTATATCGGACAGGATTTCCGTCGTCCTTTTCTCATTTAGGTCTGTGCTGTCGCCGCCGGTTATGGGTGGTGTAATCGCGTTCCATTGTTTTTGCGCTCTTACGATGTTGTGAAACAAATTATTTGATTATTATAATCGCGCCACGGCGACGACGATATATTATATATATATACAATAATATGCATTTACCAATATATAATACCGTAACAATTAATTATAGTCGCCAAAAGCTTTACCTACATTATAATAGGTATATAGGTTGGGAAGTTGGAGAGTTAAAATATTTTATGTTATATTACTTCTTGGGTAGTGCAGGAGAGGGTTTACTCTACGTTCTTATTTAATAACAATTTATTGTACATTTATTGTACCTATTAATAAGATTAATTAGCCATTTTATTTTGAGCCAAAACTATTAGCTTATACATTTGTTATGCAAATATTTTTGAAGCGAGTAAAAACATAATCAATATGAAAACAAAAATTCCATTTCACAACCAAGATCATGGCAAGTACCCCCTGACAGTCTATATTATACAGGCCTTCGGCTCGTCATTTAATTATGACCTGTGTTTCTTGATGGTATTGTGTACCTGTAACATATTGATATATAGTAATAATATTTAAAAATATATCATTTAGATCGTATATTATATAATGCCTATAATTTAACGTAGTTGAACTATATGGGACTAATGGTATGTCGTGTTGTTTTTCAGCCGTCCGAGCGGACAGGATGCGAGGAGGCCGAAATAAATTCGGGCCCATGTACAAACGGGACAGGGCGAGAAAGTTGCAGATGATGCGTCAGCGACAGATGGCCGTGCAGACGTTGCGCGGCGGCGTGGTAACGTCGGCCGGGGCCAACAACCACCACCAATTCGCCATGTTGGCCGGCGACGCGGTCACGCTAGGCCAGTACCCCGGATCCACCATCTCGTCCTCGGTGTCCAGTTTGCACATCAAACAGGAAATTCAGATTCCCCAGGTGAGATGCCGTTCGCGGTTTTCATAGTATACTATATTATCGTGTTTACGGTTCGGAAACGTACGAGAAAAAAATGTAACCAACACAAACAACGACGATTATTTATTCTCCAGTCGGCGATGACCGTCTCTGCGGTATACAATAATATTGTATATCATAAATCACGATTTTTAAACGTACGTGCGGCTGTATATTATATAGGAAGCGCATACAATAATAATTTATAGCATACCCGCCCCTATGTGCAATAACAACTGCGCCGACGAGATCAGTTTTTTTTATTAAATTTACCTACATAGGTACATCGTTTCCAATATTGCGCCACTGTGGCGACCATCGCACGCACATAATAATATTATAATCGACATTCGACTTTTCTGTTTTCAAACCGTTGTACGCCCGACGGTGAGCTTCATATAAAAGAAAATAATTATATGTTATTGTCTCCGAGTTCCAATAATAATAACGGTGTGTGGTGTACCTGCATCGAAACCGTTTTCCCACCGGACGAATACATATCATAATAATAAAACAATGTTATATATTATATTTGCGTGGGTAACTTTTCGCGTTAATCAATTTCACATAATATAATATAACGCGCAGCGTTCGTCCGTCGTTATTTGTGACGGCCGCGGTGTACTGTTTGTCCTACACGATCGCGTAGGCTCATCAAAATGTGCGTAGTTGTGTAAACTGGTACGAAATAGAAACTCGACACCCCCATATTATGTCTGCATTATATGCTCGCAGTGAGCCAAAATCGCCCGTCTCGTGGGTTTCGATATTTTATCGACTTTGGCCGATGAGCGGCGAGTGATTTGCGCTGGGCTATGTTCGGACACTATTTGTATTTTGTAGCCCCCGAGTGATGGCAACTTTTCGTGCCAACCTATGTGTGTGTGTGTGTATTGTTAGCGTTTGTATTAGAGTGACTTGACCTATTATCAAACTTATAAAGTTTTGTCTTAACTTTAAGTTTTATAATAGGCCAATTCAATCGAATACTAAAGTTATAAGAACACAAATTGGTTGTGCTAAACGTACATTTGCTATGTTGCGTCGCGTTGGTCAGAGACAGCAAAAAAATTTAGTTCGCCGACATCCTTTCAAACAAAATGTGCATCCCATGACTCAGAAAACCATAGATTAAATTATGTGGTTTATTATAATTTATAAAACGTTTTTCTCAAACAGGTGTCTTCGTTGACGTCCTCGCCCGACTCATCTCCAAGCCCGATCGCTGTGGCTCTGGGCCAGGCTGGACTCGGTTCCCTGACCACGGGCGCCGGTGGTACCACTTGCGTGGTCAACCAACACTCACAAATGACGCTGCAAATTGTGGCTTCGGCTAACGGCAACAACAATAACAACAACACTAGCAGCAGTAACAACAACAGCACGGGCGTGACCAACATGACCGGCGCAAACGGTGGAGTCCCACCGTCACAACACCAGCAACATCACCAACAGGCACAACAGCAACAACAGCAACAACAGCAACAGCAACAACAGTCGGCGGGACCAGCCTCGTCCTTGTTGTCCGTAAACAAAATGTGGTCGCCACCGTCGTCGCCGAAGAACTACCTGTTGTCCGCTCACCAGCAGCAACAGCAGCAACACCACGTGCCACAGCAGCAACAGCAGCAGCAACAACAGCAACAGCAGCAACAACAGATGGTGGTGGATGGCGGCGGTAGCTCGTCGACCGCCGCGACCGCCAACGGTGGCGGCAGCGGTGTCAAAGGTATGTCGCCCATGATCCGGGACTTTGTGCAGGGACTGGACGACCGGGAGTGGCAGAGCTCGCTTTTCGGTCTGTTGCAAAACCAGACGTACAACCAGTGCGAAGTCGATCTGTTCGAACTCATGTGCAAGGTCCTCGACCAAAATCTATTCTCGCAAGTGGACTGGGCGCGGAACTCGGTGTTCTTCAAAGATTTGAAGGTAACGATTATAATATTATTATTTTTGTTTTTTATCATTTTAACTAGACTATAGCAATTAGACGTAATATTATATTATTATAAATATTCTTGAGTAAGACATATAATATAATGTATAGATTACATAAAGTTATAAATAGTAACATTAATTGAAAAAGTATACTGTTGTAGAGAATACAAAGCAAGATTAAATGATACGTAATAATAGGTATATAGATTTTTTATGTTGTGTTTTGATTTATGTGTTTGGGTTTCTATTAATTGGCTGATAAGGTGTGTTTCCGATAAGAATTATATGAGTTTAGAAATATACCAAGTTTAATGTTTTAGCTAGATTTTTGGATATTCTGAATTTTCTACTCCCCTTGACATAGATTTTACATTATCTATATAGAGCCGAGTTCAGCTAGGGACTACGAGATGGGCCTTGTAGATTTAAGTAAGACAAAACCCTATCCCTTACCTGTCGATGGGTGGTGAGCTGACGATGCTCGCGTATACCCCCATCATACACATACGTACATAGTATTAATAAAATATTTTAATAAAAGTCGCAAGACGGGCGATGTACGCAATGTGCGCAATTTACGGACGCGAAAACCTATATATAGATGGTTGTATTTAATAATATGATAATAATATTAATATTGTATGTACGATATCGTGTGTACACGCGCGCGCGTGATCGGTCCATTATACGAAAACAGCGGTAGACCGATCGTTTCGCGGTGGTTCGGGTTGGGTGCAAGTATGATTGTGGGTGGGCGGGGTGGTGGAGAGTGGGTATACGAACATAAAAAAATGAGGCCAAGTTCACCGCCGCCGCCGCCGCCGTACACACGCGCAAGCACTCAGCAAGTCGCCGTCGTTGTTGTGTACGCAACGCACTCGCACTCACAGTTGCGCGGCGGCCAGCCAGCGCGCGTTTTTGCGCAATTGCGGCGTTCAGAAAGCCCAACGACTCGAAACCGATTGTGTGTGTGTGTGTGTGTGAATGTCTCTGAGTGTGTGTGTATAGAACAATGCCGTCGACGCCGTGCGTGCGATTTTTTTTCGTATTTATTATTTAATTACGAATGAAATGATATATTATTATATTATGGCCGCCGAAAAACGAGTTGGCCGCAACGACTATATTATTATTATTGTATTATCGTTGTATCGTAACAGGTACATATTATATTATATTATATTGTATCGCGTGGTGCGTGCGACGGGGCAGCCCGGGAATGCGCGCGACACGCGAAATCCCGTGGGATTTGAGTATTTTTTGTCTACTGTGAATTAAAAAATTATAATAATAACCGTTACGGCAATCGCATTTAATATTTTATAATAATAATACTAAAATTAAGAAACGAGAGAATAAACAGCGACGCGTATATTATAGCAAGCAAGTGGCGCGCGTTGTTGTGCATCATCGTAATAATAATAATCATAACATAATGCTATGCACACGCGTACCTATACCGTAGTACGACGACGACGTTTTTTAATTGCTCTCGGCGGCGGCGGCGGCGACGACGATCGTTTAAAAATACGAAAAAAAGCTATAACATTATAAATATACAGTACGAGCACTGTGCAGCGAGTAGCGCATGGCGCTCGGCCGCCGCACCGTTGGCCCGGCACAAAGACAACCGACGGTCGCGGCACCGGCCCCGTGTATTGTTGTGTGTGGTAGTCGCGCGGCAGTCGTCCCGGGGGCCCGATTTAGGGGGTCGGCTGTGACGGCGTCCTCGGCGGTGGTGGTGTGCTCGCCGTCCGTCCGTTCCCTCCGCTTCGCCATCGCCGCCGCCGCCGCCACCTTTTGACGATGCTCATTATGTGTCGGCGTTGCCGTTTCGCCGCCGACGTCGTTGATAAAATACTTTATTATTATTATTATTATTATTATTATTATTATTATGCGTTTAATCGAGTCGGAATGACGACGGCGTCGCCCGCGACCGTACTCATAATAATATTATTATTATTTATTATGCATAATATAATATTATATTGTTTAGGTGTGGCGATGGTACTTGTGTGGTTCGCAAAATGCGATAGTAGAGTACGAATGAACGATCTCTCGCAAATCCGAAGTAAAATACGGTTTTCGTGCGATTTTAAATTTGTCCATACTGTGCTAAAGTTTTACAATAATTGAAAATATGTTTTAATATTATAATAATATACCTCGTTTTCGATACGATCGGCACGATACCGACGACGACGGTTATTGGGAATTCGGTTACACATTTCGTTTTGTATTCGTTCGCCGGTATATATTTAATACAAATAATAATCACATTGGTGTGTGTGTTTGTGTTTTTTCTGGGTCATATCGGTGTTGCGGTGGAGGTATTCGCGCGGGGGTGACGTATATAGATGGCCGGAAAGGAGCGCCCCCGCACGAAAGTTCGACCGTTGAGGCCACCCGCGCGATAAACCCGCCAGCCTGTAGTGTTCTTTCCCTAGTTTTTAAATATAGTTTTCATTTTTTTTCCCGATACTTTCGATTGTTATCGAAACGTTTACCAACAGAATATATAGGTTTCAATAAATAATATTTTCTCGAACTTTAGGGTTTAATACTGATATTCATTTTGTGGCCGTAACGACTATGGATTAAATTTTTTTTTTAATTTTATTGACCTATAATGTTGTGGTTTAGTTTAAAAATCTAAAGTAGTCGAACGACATATTTTTAAGCTATAGACACTACTTGTGTATATTATTTTGCTGAGACTCGAAAGTTCTATATATCGTTCATATTTTTGTGGACAAGACAACAATACATTCCGATTGTGTTTCAGTCGATCGTACCTGTATTTGATTAGTTATTATTTATTCATAATATTATGCTTAATAAAATGTACACAATAATAACACATTTTATAGTATGTATGTGAATGTCGACTACGACAACATTAAAAAATGAACGTTTTCAATAAATATAATAATAATGGTTTAGCGTTGCGCGTTCAGCTTTATAGTCAGTCACGTTTTTCGTTATGAGAATTTTTCTTTTTAATTCTATATTATACGATATCTATTGATTTGAAATCGATATTTCTGTTGTTCGCGTTCTATGCTCGGATCATCAAATAATATACTCAAACAGACATAAAAAGTGGACCGGACGGATACGCCGTACTCGCGTGTGCTTCGATATCATTGTACAACGGGCAACTCCCATTAGATACATGTATACTGATGTACGTATTATTATAACATTACACGACTGTTGTTCAGCACACGTTAAACGACGAAGCGAAAAGTTTGCATTACGCCCGTGACACATATATTTCGGAATATATTTATATTCATGGCTCGGTTTCGGTTTTTTTTTTGTTATATATAATACGCGCGTACGTTGAACATAATACAATATATTATGCGCTCTGCAAAACGGTTAAAAATCCAAAACGTGTTCTAAGCACAATATAATGTACATAAACAATGTTTTATTTTAATTGAAAGAATGCCGAAAGTATAATATTATTGTTTACTTCACGAAAATGCACATAGAATTTTTTTTGGAGAATTTCTAAAATAAAATAAAATAAAAATATATAAATGCATATTGTAAACAACGTGCAAGAACCAAGGTCAAGAGTCTCGCACATTGTGATTGAAAATAAAAAATAACTTTCGTTTCTGAAAATTCAAAACTGGTATTACTATATTATAAGATATGTAATATATTATTATTGTAATATTGTTATAGGAGCCTCTCGAAGGAATAGTGTTTTTGAAACGAAATTAATTTACTGGTCGGATGATATTTCTTGTTTACATCTTACGTAACAGTTTATATAAATACATACAACGCTATAAATTTTATGTAATTTTATTTTGGATGTCACACCAGACTGTTAACAATAATATTTTCGAAACCACCGGTAGCGTGTGACTGTATCTCTACATCGTTCTCTATAATATCCCCATATAGTTTTTCATTTTTATAGATGTGCAGACTATGTGTACGTCTTATACATCTTATGTAATAGGTTTTTATTTTTAGAAACCATGACGCTATCGTACAAATCACGTGTAAAAAATATGGGTTTTTAGTTTTACTCCAAGTACCTATAGTCGCTGTACCTTTATAATATGTTTTAATATTTTAACCGTGGAATAACGATTATCGAGTACATTATATTTATGCTGCCGTGTCATAATGATATATAATCGTGTTATTATAGTTGTATAATGAGTCGGTTTTTTTTTAACATGAAAAACTTTTTTTAATTTTTTTCGGCCAAAGGTCGGCTTCCCCTGTGGTGTGCAGAAAGGGAGAAATAGTAGACGCCCCGTCTCTGGGGAGTTTTCCGCCGAGAATCCGGAACGCGTGGCGGCCATCAAAGCGACGAAAAAATAATATTATATTATGTTCTATATAATTCTATGTTGTACATGTATATAGTATAATATGTAATAATAACACTGTGTCGTAAGCTAGTAGTCGAGGGGAGGAGGTCTAGTAGCATTAAGCCATCGCGTAGGCTACATCGGCGGGGGTTAAACGTTCGTGGAGGGGTGTCTGCAACTAGGTTAATTTGGTTGTGTACGGTAGGTCATGGTCAGGCCAGGGATCGATCATACGTTGGCGCGGGGTGGAAGGGACATACGTCATCGCATTTGCGCGCGTGCGCGCACGCGGGTCCGTGTGTGTGTAGGTCGCCCAAGACGCCTGTTCTCCTCTAGTCCTCTGTCGTGTCCTATTTACGATGTACGATGCTATTATTATAAACGCTTCGGTGTTTCACTCGGCAGGGTGTGAACATAATATTATATTTGCCAGTTCGACGTATTTCGGTCGATGAATTTTTATTTCCGTCGTTATAATATTATTATTGTTTTTAGTGTGAAAACCTTTTCTTCTTCTCATCGCGTAGTTATTTTTTCCATCCGCAAAAGGCTTCGCTTATTGTTCGGTCGTCTATAGTTTGCGCGCCAAATAAAGGCGAGGTGATACCATATAATACGACACACACCCCGCACGTGCGATACCGATAACTAGAACAAAGTCACCGCCGCCGTCCTGTTTCGATGACCTATTTTTCGGGGTTGCCAAAAGAACAAAACCGAAAATTTTACGATCTGTCTCGGCGTTGAATGTCGATGTGAAAACTCGTCAGTCCCGGCCAATTAAATGTGTATTATTTGCCTACGTGTTGCCGTGTCGGGTCTTATAATATTATTGTCATATTGTGTTCGTCTTCACGGTGACGGAGTTTATTCTCTCCGATATCGTCACATACGTGGTACACACCTCTCGCTCTGCGTTATATTATACTTGAATGTTATAACTTATAACGCACTCGCCGGGTTCATTGTTTTCTGCGACAAACCGCGGGTTAAGAACACTTGTGTGTGTGTATATTTATACTTAGAAATAACAATAATAGAAAAACGCGTGTACACGCTGTTTTTAGTGTAAATTTTTTGAGTGTCGTGAACTGAATGCCAATTTTTGTCACCTTGAAATCATGTTCTCCTGACTAAACATCGGTGAACAATATTAAGAGGGGTGGGGGAAATCACACACATGCACACACACTGCACGCGGAAGTGTCAAAAAAAACTAACACATAATATCAACATCACGCTGGACACTGACTCCGTTCCATACACAGGCAACTGCCACTATTGTAGTGCATTATTTTTTACCCAAGTTCATCGGCCCGAGATTTGTTTAGTATTTCATTAAACGCGTGTTATTATTATTGGTATTATTATTATTGTTATTATTATTATTATTATTATTATTATTATTATTATTATTATTATTAGTTATTGCCCGCGTGTGTGTGATGGTGCCCTTGTGTCGCGTCGTACAAGCGACGAAGGCGACGCGGCGCCCATCAGACGACACGTGGGCTTGGGATTTGTTCGTTTTCCCACCCTTTGGTACACAACATATTATTATATAATAATTATAATATTGCAATTCCGAGTTGTTGTATAGACCGCAACACGACGGCGTCATGTTTTCGCTGTACACAATAAAATATGTATATCATAAACCTATTCACTTGTTTTCTATACAGGATGTTCTTTCCGTGATATTTATTTAATAAATATTATAAATAATACGTGATACAGTGGAAAAGATTTTATTTTCTTAGTTTTATCAAAATCTAGTGTCGCCGATGTGACTCTTGCTCAATAAATCGTCCACACCTGTGTTAATCTATAGTGTATAGTATAACGCACATATAGGTAGGTACCTACTTATTGTGCTGATGTGCACAGATTGTGAATTTATTGCCTTAACAAATAATCAAAGATATTTTATCATTCGACATGATGTAAACGAACGGGTACGTGCGCTGAATAATCTTCGAGGCGATTTTTGTCTTTTGCACCATTATTCAGTCCTCGGATTTCCGCAGTGAAAACGAAACGAGAAAGACACCTGTAGTGTTATTTTGTTATTGAAACAAAAATATACGATATTAACTGTCTAATATACAGACGTTTTGTTGCTATAAATGTAAACTGTTATAAACGGTTTGTTGATTACACAATTACAATTTTTTTTATTTCACAGATACCTACATAATATTATAATAATATTGTATACAACGTTCAAGCGTTGTGCAACAGTTGATCAAACTGATTGTTTCTTGATTTTACAGACTCGTATAGTATAATCTTCATTAAGTCTTGAATAATGTATAAACATTAAATAAAATACTCAGGGCCACCCACCTGTAGTTGATGGTGGTATGTGCCTGGGGGAGAGGGTTGTTATAACGAATCTACTTCAAACCTTGTTTCCTATATTTAGCCACATATTAGGCCACGATTTGAGAATAGGCCGTGGGCATCGTGCTTAAACTTTTCCGTGACCGACTCATTAACAGAAGAATTAGCCTGTAAATATCACAATCATGTTTCGTACTGTGCATCACGTCACGACCCAGCGTAAAAAGGTGTTGACACGTACATTCCTATATATCGTACAACCGGTTGTTCGATAAGTCTTGTAATTATTATCAAAGTGATCAAACACTGACGTACAGTCGAGACGTGCACTTTTTTCCCGGTACAGCTGCTGCATTTGGTGCATGCAGTTATTGTCGTCGATGATGATGATGCTCAGAGATTATTCTTGACGTATATAACAACACAATATTATATAGGTGCAGTGCATTCTGCTGCAGCTGGGAGTTTTCTTGACGTCATTACAAAAAAGTAAAATATTAGTTATTAAAATGACGTCACTTGCTCGTTTCGCGTTCGGTAAGTTTCGATACATTTTATAATGTGTGAAACACATACTACTTCTATATAATATGGGACCAAAATATTTATATGTCGACGACGACGACGACGACGACGACAACGACGACGACAACGATGCACACTATGTAATACGCGTCCGTATATGATATCGCAATTTCAGTGATAATAAAAAAAAAGTAAATAAAAAACTATATTATTATGTAGGTATAACGCGCGTAGGTAACGATAATAAAACTCACTCCCATGTTACGTCGTCGTTGTTTTGTATTATTATTATTATTATTATTGTACATATTTTGGCGTGTATCCAGTACGCCACATGTCAAGTGTCCCATTTTTACGATTACAAGGTTCTAGTGGATTAATAAAATCAGCGGGAACGCGTTTTGATGATATATTATTGTGCCTAATATATAACAACGCCTATGTGTAACGTATACCTATATAATATTATAAATAGACATGGTGGCCAACCCTAAATAATGAAAAAAAAATAGTAGTAGTAATAACGATGACGGTAATGATTAGGCATGCTGCACCGCAGGTCCCGATGATAATATTACGCATCGTACGTTCCCGTCCTGCCGACGAAGTACTTCGCTTTTTACTGTCGACGGCGTTGTTTTTCTTGCGGCGGCGTATCGGATTTTCCACGCGCTCGCATAAGTGAAATCGACGGCATTGGCCTTGAGCCTCAAGGTCTATCCTGTGGTGAAAGCGGAAAACGCAGATGAGACAGAGTGTAAAAAAAAATTAAGACCCACGTAATAACGCGCGTATCGCTACTGTATTTTAGTTATTTTTAAAACATTTTTTTTCTTCTTTTCGGATTTTCGACCGACCGCGACGACAATTACAACTACTGACACACAGTAAATCGGGTAGAATAATAATTGTTCCAAGACGCACTCGCGGCGCATTGTAGAATTAGTATGGATGCGGTTGTTTTGTTATTGTCATTGTTATTGTTGTTGTGGTTGTTGTTGTAGGTAGTAATACTAATATAATATAGGTACTAGGTAGTTATTTCGTTGTGGTGGTTGTTGTTGTTGTTGTTGTTGTTGTTGAGGTGGTAGAGCTAGCAGTTACTATTAAGTAGTAGGTAATGGTAATCGTCGTCGTCGTGCGTACGTCTCGGACTCGGACGAGAATATAAAAACGAAATTACCGTCCGACCGAAAACGAGTGCACGCAGTCGTTACGGATTTACACATTATATGGTATATACCTTACCTGTATTATACCTATTATTATTATATCATTATTATTATTATTATTATTATACAGTGTAGATGTATGCCTCTATATATGTAAGTGTAGTACACCTCTATATACGGCGCAACCACCGCCGCCGTCACAGACTCTTCTTTCACTTTTCAAGGTCTTACGATTCGTTACGCGTAAATGCTGCAAGTAGGTCCGATCATAATATTATACGCTCCGATCGCGCGATGTGCCGTGAATATAATATGTATATGTATACAATATATTTTTATACGCTTGTAATGATATTGTTGTACTATGCGAAGAGAATATCCGTGGCGATGGACGCGGGGGGACGGGAATTTATATAAATTAAATCCTACGCCGTGCAACCCGCGCCATCGTAGTAATCGTGGTTACCCAACAAGACACGCTGCCCTGGTATAAACCCATCCCCATGTATATATTCAACCCTTCCGTGGGTAACGTCTCTCGCCAAGAGTATAAACTGAACTCCGTTTCTGCTATCTAATTAATTCCAAAATGCTGTGGTTAAGTACATATTATTATTATCATGATATTAGGTATAACCATACTATACGCATAATATTATATATATTATTTAGTCACTGTCATTCCCCAAACTTACGTGCGTGTTACTGTATTGATGACACGAAATTATAACATAATGTATTATTTTAGGTATTACGAGTAATGAGTATAATATATATTAATACCGTATTAAGCTAGTATGTATAATATTATAGTGTCGTCTTCGTCGTCGAAGGGTTTAATTATAAATTAAAATTACTGATATTGTTTGGCTGTCTTATATATTTTATAAGCTATAGTGAATAATGCTTTGTGAATCCGATTTTTACTAAACATTTGTTTCCCTGCCGTTGCACAGGTAGACGACCAGATGAAACTGTTGCAGCACTCGTGGTCCGACATGCTGGTGCTAGACCACATCCACCAGCACATGCACAACAACCTGGCCAACGAGATCATGTTGCACAACGGGCAAAAGTTTGATCTACTCGCTCTCGGTCTGCTTGGCGTCACCACGATGGCTGACTGTTTCGCCCAGGTCATCGACAGGTTACAGGAGCTCAAGTTTGACGTCGGTGATTACATTTGCCTAAAGTTCCTGCTACTGTTGAACCCTGGTAAGTCGTCGTTTTATGGGAGACTTACACCCCCCGACCATCGTATATACAGAGCTCATCTGGACTATTTAATGATTAAATTTACGAAACAATCTGCTATAACTATGGCTGTTAAATTCTCCAGTCTACGCATCCTATATACCGCAAGAATGACTACGGTTTTTAACGGTTCTGTATTTGTTTATGTTTTCTATTGCAGACGTCAAAGGGATCGGCAACAGTAAACACGTTCACGAAGGTCACGAACAAGTATTGAAGGCTTTGTTGGACTATTGCATCACAGCCAACTCTCAAGTACAGGTAAACGAGATTGAAATAATATCATTATCGTTTAACATATAAATTGCTTTTAATGACCAGCCAATATCTAACGTCCCGATTTCGCTTCGTTTTTACAGGACAAATTTACCAAATTGTTGTCCGTGCTGCCCGAAATCCATCACATAGCCACCAGAGGCGAGGAGAGTCTGTACTTGAAGCACTGTAGCGGCGGCGCTCCCACGCAGACGTTGCTCATGGAGATGCTGCACGCCAAGCGAAAATAACACAAATCACACAATACACACATACACACCACTCACCACCAAAATATTATATATTTTATAACAATAATAGCGTATACTGTTGTTGTTATTATTATTATAATAATGATAATATATTACTAATATTATTATTATTATTTTATTTAAAATATATATATTTAGATGACCACACACAACACACCATCACCACCACCTCCCCGTACACACACACACACTCACACCCACAACGTCAAATCGACATCATCTGCAATGCGAAGAACAGACGCCACACTCACGCACTCCTCGCACTCGTTCACACGTAAGAGACACGTACATATTAAATTATTATTATTAGTTCGACCATCACAGGAATCACAATATTATTAAATTAATATCACCCAGATTGATGATGATAGTAATGATTTACAGCTCTAGCTATCCGTCGGGCGGGTGGCTCGAGTTTAACCTGTTTTATATTTCATCTCTCGTCGGCCCCGTTACTGGTCATCAGTGACGCGAACGTGTGTTATTTATTTGATATTTTATAATAATATAATATGATAATAGTTGATAACATTAATCCACGAACCCGTCCGGTGTCAAGGGGGACTTGTCTCGATATTTCGCATCGTTACACGCAGTGGTCGTGTTTTTACTACGCCGCGCTCGCGTAATATGCTAGCGACCGTCATATTACTCATATTATTAATAATAATAATAATAATAATATACGATGTTGTATAATATACAACACCGCCTACCTAATAATAATGTCAATAATACATCGCCAATTAGGCCGGTGATGTTTTCCCACATCGAGACATGGATTACATGGACAAGACTCCTAATCGTGTCATTTATAGCGAAATGAAGTCGTAGTGATCTGCCTACTACCTATCTAATAATAATACGTGTTTATCGCACTGTTATTGTTTTTTATGTTTGTAATTTTTTTTTCTATCGAGACGATATTTCGCTACATGACGCCGATACGGACGGATATAACGAAACGATTCCATATCTATGACATCCGTTGATAGTCACCCGTCAATTTTTATTTTCCAACTTAACCGTGTATTATATTGCTTATTATTGCTGCCCGTTTTGAAGTGCTTAACCCCAATTTTTTATTGTTTCAGGGTTGGCCAAATATTTTAAAAGACAGACCTCGTCAACGTCTATTTGAGCGACAGCCACGTTACCATGACAACTAAATAAGTTTTGAGTCATTACAGAGTTACCAACTGATCTCGTCGACAGCGTCATTACACACGTACGCGATGTTGGTCAAAACTACTCGTACACACCACATTCACCGATGTACACAACATACACCAATACACACACATACACAAATACACACCACATAATTATTAATATTATTTATTATTAATTATTTAACTTATGTTTTTTTTATATATATATAAATGTAAGAAAAGTAATCCTTCCGATGACTAATGAAATAAGAGTGCACAAGTGCTCCCTAAAAATCCGTTTATTATTATTATTATTATTATTATTATTATTAATAACTATATTATATGTTATGTTTATATAGTGCATATTATATATTAGAGCATAATGCGTATGTATACATATATTTTTATTATGAGCTATATAGTTTGTATATATATTATGATGATTTTAATGCTTAGCTTAGGAATTTAATGTTTGGTTACCAAATCTCAAAAGGCCAGTAAAAGGAGATGTGCTCAAGGTTTAAAAATGTTAAAAAAAGATTATATTATTTACAATATAATACAAGCCGTTCAGTTCCTACACACTGTTCCAATTAAATAAGATATTAATCCGCTATGTTCGGTTTTCTTCTTCTTTTTAATAATTGCAGACATTTTGTTCATGAAAGAGATATATGAGTGAGAACTATATGCAAAGAGAGAATGATCACAATAAATGTGTGACAATATTGCTGTTCACAGTATTTGTGTGTTTTATTGTAAATTGTATTTTTATTACAAAATATTGTAACTTAATGATTTGAACCAATTTACTATATCCGCACACTAATATTTTGTTTCTTTACGACGATTTGTGTAAAAAATATTGTAAGTACATATACATATTTATTTATGTATGTAGTATTTTTAAATATCAATTGAATAAAAACGATTAACTACCATTGCCTCCAAAACAAGAGTACAAAATATTTTTCTAAAACCAATTCGTTATCTTTGTTAACCCCATTAGTTTTAGTTTTACCTTTCAAATTTTTTTTTGTTTTTTTGGGATATTTGGGCATAAAATCACTGATTCGGCATTCGTTTTTTGGATCTTGTTTAAAAAAAAAACATTCCGTCTAAATAAATTAAATTGAAAAACAAATACCTAAAAATGTTTTATTTTATTTTTTCTCCTTGTAGTAGGTGATGGACAAGTTAGCGTTCGCCTTATTATATTTTATTTCCTCTACAAGTATAATATTATCATTGTGTTATTATCATATAACATATTATTATAGATTCATAGTTGTTTAGATTTAGAGATTTATTTATTTATGCGTGTATACATAGATTTATGGCATATATTATTATTATTATTATTATTATTATATACCTTTGTGGTTCATAATGTTAGGTGTTAAAAATATTTATTTTAAAACAAATAATATTGTCGTTAAAAAAAACAATTTTATGAAACACAAGAATGATTGTATGAAACTATGAGTTACCGTTAATTTTTTTTTTTTGTAAGTAATATTACTATGTACTTGCTCATTGTTTTTCTTTTTCTTATCTTTTCTTTTTCCTTTTTTTTTATTCGTCATTTATGCTTGTATTGTTCGTTTGGTTTGTCATAAGCGTGCGCACACGATATTCAGACATCTCAATATTATTTGATTGTACAATTTTTCACACGGACTTACCGTTCGATGTGTGTGTGTGTGTTACCGCGTTTGCATTGACGCTTCTCTGCCTCTGTCTTCCTTAACATACGCGCTCGGAGCAGTGCGGTAACACTGCAAGTCTCTGTCAGTTTATGTTTTGTTAAAATATATTTATATCGAGAGAAGAGGGGAAAAAATGTTTGAATTTCGACCAAAGTACTACAATGTTTCCAAACATATAATATTCTATGATACTATGTAACTAATTTTTTTTCTCGAAAACTAATAGTTTAAAAAACGATTTAATCATAATTATTAAAAAAAAAAAAGCGTCCAGGGTTTTCGTATGAATTCGTGATCAAACATTGTGATTGAATATTTTTTAAATAAAATATATAATGTTATTAATAATAATACATATATAAATATATATTTTGGAAGTATATTTCTTAATCTATTTTAAAAGGAAAATACGTTTTATTTTTTGAGATAATGAAATATTTAAGTTTTTATTATGGTTTTAACACTGTTGGTTCTTTTGTTCTCCATCATTATTATTATTATTATCATTATTATTATTATTATATTATTATTAATATTACTATTATATATTTGGCATCATTATTATTATTATTATCATTATTGTATAATTATATTTTGACCCTCCCTTAAGGTTTTTTTTCAACGTTTAACCGCGCTTAGAATATAAGCTATGTATTTTTATTTTTTATCCCTTAGCATCGTATTAGTTATTAAATGAACATTTTATTATGTATATGTATATTATAATAAGTTACGAGAACACGAAAAATAAAACATAGATTATGTTTCTCGTTGCTTCGGAATACAATTAAACACATATTTTTTAAAAAATATGAAAAAAAATCCTGTTACCTCAATAAATTCGTTGCGTTTGTACCATATAATATATATATATATTATATTATATTATATTATAAATAACATAATTTATATATAAATATAATTTAAGCTAATAATATAATTATTATTAAATAAAAAAAAAATATAATAAATACCATGTTATTAAGTGTTTTGTGTTTGTATTATCTATTTTTGATGTAAATATAGATTTACGTTTAATTTTATTATTTATGCGATATTTTTTTTTTCATTCAAGAACACTTTATTTGTCTCGTTAAGACGTTATTATTATTTTTTTTAACGAAATTAAAAATAATTTACACGGATAATTAATGGTACAAAATTGTGGTCGAGAATGTTTCTAAAACCTGTTACCAGCGTATTATTTTTATTCGTATTATGTGTATTGATCTTAAAATATAATGTTTATTGATTATATTTGAATTTTTTATTTTATTTTATTTTCATGTATTAAAATACATAATATTCTGAACGGTATCGAGTATAGTATAGTGGTATAATATTAGGTAGGTGTAATTAGGATAAGCTAAATATCGTTATTGTTGAGAGTTGGATTCGGAGAGAGTAGATTTTTAAGTATACTAGTTCTAGAGTGGGTGGGGGGAGAGATAAGCCAAGGACATTTTTTTTCTCTCGCGCTAATATTATATCATATTTTTGTCTGTTAAGAGTTTATTATTATCACGATGATGAATGTTATTTTAATTGTTTTATATACCACCTAATATCTAAAAGCTCGTTAGTCCGTCCGTTTTCTTTCAAACCACTGTCGTTTCAGAACCAGCACCATAATAATAATAATGTGGAATAATATGTGCAATCGATGATACCAATTACCAGCTTCATGTGTGCACACACATGTTATTAGTAT